GGGCCAAAAAGAAATAGATACCTTGTTGGACAGTGGAAGAAGGTGAATTGGGGTCTGTGACAGTACTGTTTCTTAGATAGAAGTGTCCTGACTCAGGGGGCTGTATGACCGTTAGATGGATGAGTGTCCTTGTTTTTGAGAAACACTCACTATGATATTTGAGGGATATGCAACTTCATGTCTGCGATACGTCCTCAAACGGTTTAGAAAAAGATGAGTCATGATGAGTATGTGGATCCACAGATGGAGGGAGCTACAAACATGGTACAGTCTTAGCGGTCGGGGAGTCTGAGTGAGGAGGATGGGGATGGGGTGGGGATGCTCAGCCTACTGTTTTTGCTCAGCCTAAGACTGAGTCACTTTCCTATGTTTGAAAGAGAACTAATTAGTAGGGCCTAGGACATGGTGTGTAGGTCAAAGGCACAGAGTATCTGCTAATGCAATACCCTCTGTACTAATGAAATGTACTCTGGCAGATCTGCACTCAATTCTCATGGTTAATATAAAGCTAACTGGTGCCAAAGACAAAAGGTAAAATACTCAGAAATCATTGCTTTATCACTCTGTTCTTAAATGCCTGTGGTGCCCATTATTGATAGAAAAAATACATTTTCAAGACACTGATGTAGGTGAGGAGAGGTGAGGAGCTCCCCCTGCCCTAGGAGAAGTGTTGAGCCCTCAGTGGCCTTTGAGCCAGAGGCCTGGGGCATCCTGGAAGTTAGAGGTGTGACCGCACCCCCTGTTGGGGGACTGTTTGCCGGCTCCTTGGGGAGCGGAGTAGAGGGCCTCGCAGTCCTACTGGAACAGAGAGGAGAGCTGGGCGCGTACTTGGGGATGGTGAGGTGCAGAGGATGCAAAGGTGAAGGGCTTGGTGTCTGGACCTCATGGAATCCTGGCCACGCCACTGAGCAGCCGCTGAGTCGGGCTGGTTACTTCCCCTGCTCTGCCTGTCTCCTCCTGTGTAAAACAGGATAACGAGCGTCGACTGCCTAGGGTTGTCCAGAAGGTTGAGCACGTGAATTCACCCGAAGCTCTGGGAACACTGCCTGGCACGTAGGAGGGGCTCCCTCTGCTGGTGGGCAGGCTGTGGGCCCCCCTTTGTTAGGTCCCCCCACCCAGCGAGTGCATTTGTCCTGAGTGGCCTGCCAGGAAGCCGACACACTGCATCAGAGGTCACGACTCGCTTTCAAAGCATCTGCCACAGACGTGGCGCGTGACCTTTCCTCAACAGGCCGTGGTTCACTCACCAGGAAAATGACGCAGTTGGATTAGATCAGAGGTTTGCAAACTGTAATGCTCTGGGGTGTTCCAGAGCTGTCTCAGGGGCGCTGCTGGTCGGGGGAGTGGGGCAGCTGAAGAAGCCAGCTGCAGGGGACCCCCGCTCAGCCCCACCCGGAACGGCTCTGCCCGTGTCTCTAAGCAGGTCTTCTATGAACGGTTTCATTTGAAGAAATGGCTCCCTACTAAGCAGACTTTAAAAATCATCAGACCAAGGTCTCGCTCAGGTTTCACATCCTAGGGTTTACCCTCTCTCAGGAACAATCCATCAGCAAGCATTCTTGGTCTCCACGGCCCTTGTGGGACATAACCTCTTAGAGGTGCCGGGGTGGAGATCTTCACCTCTCGTCTCCATTGCGGGTCAGGATCCACACAGTGGACGGGCTTTGATACTTGCAACTTACCTACACCACACCCTCCCCCACCACACACACACCATACACTACACACATCACCCACACCACACACCACAACTTACCTACACCACACACACACATCACATACCACACACATCACCCACCCCACACACCACAACTTACCTACACCACACACACACACCATACACCACACACATCACCCACCCCACACACCACAACTTACCTCCACCACACACACACACACGCACACACACATCATATACCACACACGTCACCCACTCCACACACCACAACTTACCTCCACCACACACACACACACACACACACACATCATACACCACACACATCACCCACACCACACACCACAACTTACCTACACCACACACACACATCATATACCACACACATCACCCACCCCACACACCACAATTTACCTCCACCACACACACACACACACACACACACACACATCATATACCACACACATTACCCACTCCACACACCACAACTTACCTCTACCACACACACAGACACACGCACACACATCATATACCACACACATCACCCACTCCACACACCACAACTTGCCTATACCACACACACACACACACACATCATACACCACACACATCACCCACCCCACATACCACAACTTAACTATACCACACACCACAACTTACCTATACCACACACACACGCACACACATCATATACCACACACATCACCCACTCCACACACCACAACTTACCTCCACCACACACACACACATCATACACCACACCACACCATACACCACACACATCACCCACTCCACACAACACACCTTACCTCCACCACACACACATATACACACACACCCAATACACCACACACATCGCCCATACCACACACCACAGCTTTCCTACACCACGCACACACACACAATCATACACCACCACACACCACAATTTACCTACACCACACATGCACGCGCACACACACACCCACACCCCATACACCACACACATCACCCACATCACACACACCCTGAACCTGCTTTGCCCCCAGGAAACCACCAACAGTAGTCTCTGAGCGGCTTTCTGGGTCTTACCCTAGATCCACTGTATTAATTATCTTTTGAAAGAGAAAGTGTTAGTCAGTCAGTCATGTCTGACTCTTTGTGACCCCATGGACTGTAGACCACCAGGCTCCTCTGTTCATGAAATTCTCCAGTCAAGAATACTGGAGTGGGTTGACATTATCTTCTCCAGGGGATCTTCCCAATCCAGGGATTGAACACGGGTCTCCTGCATTACAGGCAGATTCTTTACCATTTGAGTCACCAGGGAAGCCAAGTTACCTACTGCTGTGTAATCAGTTCAGTCCAGTCCAGTCGCTCAGTTGTGTCCGACTCTTTGCGACCCCATAAACCGCAGTGCACCAGACCTCCCTGTCCATCATCAACTGCCGGAGCTTGCTCAAGCTCATGTCCATAGAGTCGGTGATGCCATCCAACCATCTCATCCTCTGTCATCCCCTTCTCCTCCCATCTTTAATCTTTCTCAGCATCAGGGTCTTTTCCAATGAGTCAGCTCTTCACATCAGGTGGCCAAAGTGTTGGAGTTTCAGCTTCAGCATCAGTCTTTCCAATGAATATTCAGGACTGATTTCCTTTAGGATTGACTGGTTTGATCTCCTTGCAGTCCAAGGGACTCTCAAGAGTCTTCTCCAACACCACTGGTCAAAAGCATCAATTCTTCGGTGCTCAGCTTTCTTTATGGTCCAACTCTCACATCCATACATGACCACTGGAAAAACCATAGCTTTGACTAGATGGACTTTTGTTGGCAAAATAATGTCTTTGCTTTTTAATATGATGTCTAGGTTGGTCATAACTTT